TCTTGTCTTCTCTCGATGAAAGCGAAAGTAAGGATGGGGACATGGAATGTCCGTACTATGTATGAACCTACCAAGGCTGCCCAGATTGACAAAGAAATGAGAAGATATAGCATAGAGGTGCTAGGAATCTGCTGGGAATCTGCAAATGGAGTCAAAGTGGACTCTCCAAACTGCCAACTGCAGAGGAGTCAATAATCGACTCCGATATTGTCACCCAGACAACAACCACGAGCATAGAACACTGAGTTTTCGAGTGGCTATCATAATATCCCCAAGAACATCGAAGGCTGTCATACAGTGGGAACCAATCTCCCCCAGCATCCGGATCATGATAGCCGGATTCAACTCAAAAGGAAGGAAAGTCACAACCATACAAAGCTGCCCTATACACCCACAAATAATGTAGACCAAGAAAAGAAGGAGGAATTCTACAGACAACTGCAATCAGTACTGGACAAGATCACCTCCCAGTTGGCGACATCAAAATTCTAATGGATAACATGAATGCCAAAACTGGAGCAGACAACATAGGAAGAGAACTTATGATGAGTGGAGAAGCGCTTACTGAAATGAACGAGAATGGAGAACTGTTCACAGACTTCTGCGCATTCAATGGTTTGGTGATTGGAGGCACTGTGAACAAACACAGGGATATTCACAAGGCGACATGGACTTCACCAGATACCAGACACACTAAAAATCAGATCGACTTCATTCCAATCTCAAGAGAGTGCAGACGCAGTCTGCCGGACACAAGATCAAGAAGGGGAGTAGATGTAGGTTCACACCCCCTCGCTATCTGGTGCAAGGGACCTTCCAAATCAAGTTGAAAGCCTCCGAAGAAGCTGGTGATGGTACAGTACAGTTCAAGTTCACATCCGTCATCAGGACAAAATGGGAGACATTGAACATCATCCTCTAGGTGACTTGTGTGGAAGCAGACTGGAACTCTCTGAAGGCTATATGGAAAGAAAACTGCGTAACCATATTAGGAAGAAGAGGAAACGAGAAAAGAAATAGATCTTGACGGACAAATGGAAGCCGATAGAGGATTGTGAAGTAGAAGATAAACTAGTGCAGTGCAGTGCAAGGATGAACAACGAAAAGGAGAACTGAACACAACCGATAAAACACTACACTGGACAAAGAAGTGGAGAGGAGTGCACGGAAAGACAAAAGACACTTCTGCGACACATTAGCAAGTGAAGCAGAATATGCTGCTGGTAGGAGAGACAGAGATCTGACAACACTATATCAAATAACCAGGTTACTATTCGGGAAGAGATCAACGAGGACGAAACCAGTGGGAGATAGTGAAGGAAACTTAATTAACACCGAAAAGGAGAAACAAAGGAAACGATGGGCTGACCACTTTAGAAAACTCCTGAATCGACCACCACCTGCAACTGGTCCAGAAATACCACCAGCAGCCCAATCACAGAACTACAAGTGAACACAAGCATCCGACAAAAGCAGAAGTGAATTCCTGAAGCCATAAAGTTGCTGAAATCCAGGAAAGCAGCAGGACTAGATAGAATTCTGCAGTAGCACTAAAAACAGATACAGATACAAAGGCTGACACGCTCGCACCACTATTGCAAAAGGTTTGGAAGGAGGGAAAGGTACCTGCGTATTGATTGGAAAAAGGGCTACCTTGTCAAACTTCCAAAAAAGGGCAACCTGAGTCTTTGTAAGAACTGGCGAGGAATCTTGCTGCTGTCTACCCAAAGCAAAATATTAGCCAGATCATCCTGGAGAGACTAAATGATGCGTGGATTCAAAATTATGATCAGAACAGGATGGCTGGATTCGGGAGGTACAAATCATGTGTGGATCAAATTGCATCGCTACACTACCCATTACCGTAGAACAGATCATATAATGCCAGTCAACTCAACTTCTACTTTCAAAGTGCCTTCGATACCGTTGACCAAGAAGTAATTCGGAGACTGCTTCAACACTACGGTTTTAGTACCACAAATCTTTATCAACCTCACTCAACAGCAGTTATATGTTGTATGATGGATTCACAATGGGAAGCTCAGTGACGCCTTTGCAATGAAAACAGGAAGGAGTAGGACAACGTTACCGCTTACTTTCACTGATGATCCTCTTGTTTGTGGTTGACTGAACTGGACTGGGTCAAAAAAACAACTGTGAGGAGCTATGAGAAGATGGGCATATGCTATTTGACGAATGGAAAGACCCTAAGAGATTTGGATTTCACCAACGATGATGATTTATGTCTAATGTCTTGTCACACAAGCTCGAAGATCTACAGGCGTCAACTAACAAGTTGACAGAAGAGATGAGGCGAGGCAGCTAATTAAGACAGGACTTCGTTCGGGTGAACATAGAGAAGACAGAGGTGATAAAGATACACAACCAACAACAATAACAAGCACCAATCAACATGAACAGGAGAAATCTGAAGGAAGTAGTCTCTTTCATCTATCTACCTACCTACCTACCTACCTACCTACCTACCTACCTACCCACCCACCTACCTACCTACCTACCTACCTACCTACCTACCTACCTACCTACCTACCTACACACCTACCTACCTACCTACCTACCTACCTACCTACCTACCTACCTACCTACCTACCTACCTACCTACCTACCTACCTACCTACCTACCTACCTACCTACCTACCCACCTACCTACCTACCTACCTACACACCTACCTACCTACCTACCTACCTACCTACCTACCTACCTACCTACCTACACACCTACCTACCTACCTACCTACCTACCTACCTACCTACCTACCTACCTACCTACCTACCTACCTACCTACCTACCTACCTACCTACACACCTACCTACCTACCTACCTACCTACCTACCTGCCTGCCTACCTACCTACCTACCTACCTACCTACCTACCTACCTACCTACCTACCTACCTACCTACCTACCTACCTACCTACCCACCTACCTACCTACCTACCTACCTACCTACCTACCTACCTACCTGCCTGCCTACCTACACGCCTACCTACCTACCCACCTACCTACCTACCTACCTACCTACCTACCTACCTACCTACCTACCCACCTACCTACACACCTACCTACCTACCTACCTACCTGCCTACCTACCTACCTACCTACCTACCTACCTGCCTACCTACCTACCTACCTACCTACCTACCTACCTACCTACCTACCTGCCTACCTACCTACCTACCTACCTACCTACCTACCTACCTACCTACCTACCTGCCTACCTACCTACCTACCTACCTACCTACACACCTACCTACCTACCTACCTACCTACCTGCCTACCTACCTACCTACCTACCTACCTACCTACCTACCCACCTACCTACCTACTTACCTACCTACCTATCTACCTACCTACTGAGATAGGCAGGGAAGCATCGTTTCACCTGCAGGCGGTGCAACACATTGGGTGTTAAAGCAGTCAGGATGAGGAAGACAGCAAGACATGGCTTCATTATTTTGTCTGGAATCAGTGTGGAGATCTACTCCACTCCACTCCACTCCACTGCACTGCACTGCACTCAGCATAAAGCGTGAACAAGATCCAGATTCCCAACACTAATTCAGTCAAATCAATGCTTCTGTGTGATGGTTCGGAGACTTGTCGCATCATGAAAAGCATTTCCAACAAACTGCAGACATTCATCAACAGCTGCCACTCACACTCATTCAACACTGACACTGAAGATCAGATAGATAGATGTCTAGAAGGAGTGGGCAACTAGGAACTCTGGCAACGAAACAACCAACAACCCATCACCCAACAAGTATGCAGAAGGCATTGGAGATGGATTGGGTTGGACATACACTGAGAGGACCATTTTGGGACATGACGCATCAGGCTAGGCGAGGCCCTCGAGTCGAGCCAGAATGGGAATCGATGAGTTGGGTGTCCGAGGTGAGGATGACATGGAGGAGATGGTGTGAGAAGGAAATGAAAGCTTGTGTGCATTGGTGGGGCTAGATTGTAAAGACTGCAGAGAATAGAGTGGAATGGAGATGACTTACTGAAGGCGTGTGTTCCACTGGAACTCGAAGGACAAATAATAATAATAGTAAGTAATGTTTTCTCTGTAAACACCATGGAGATGAAATTCTGAGCAGGGTATTATCCACTAGGCTAGGGAGGCTATAAACAATTTAATTAGCATAATTTACATTCAGGCAATATCTAGGCATCCGCATAGGAGCCCGTATGTCAATAAAGGTCGAACAACTCGATTCAATAAAACAACGGAGAATAACAAGCATATCAATGAATAGTTATAACGCTAATTATTCAAATCAGAGAGATTTTAACACTAAATTATATTTCAGATATATGAATTTGCTGTTTTAAATCAATCCTATCTGACTACCTTTCAGTTTTGGTTAGTCTAGTTGATTTCTACCTATTTCTGTAGATTTTTCTGCTAATATTCTTCTACGATATCAAATGAAGGATTTCTGGTTATTTTTAAGAAGCCAATTATTGGAAGATATTAACTGTTCCACTGACCTTATTAGCGTCAAACTCACTCGGACATAGGAATCTTACAATAGACTTGAAATCATCCCAATGATCATATTATTCACGTTTATACTAGCACACAGCCTAATTTTCCATCGATTTAATCAATCGAAATTGATTTCAATTATCCCATAAAACATGATTATTGAAAATTATCCAACAGTCTATGTGTGTCTATGAATACACAATATATGGATGCGAGAAAGTTGGAAAGGCTGAAATATATTGTGTGTAGGTGGATGATGATACCCACGTATATATCGGTAATAGGTGTACAGTAAAAATAAAGCAAAGTAGGCTAGAAAAAAATTTGTTGTAGGGAAAAATAGGCAATTTATTCACTTATTTTTGAACCTTTCTACGGTGTATGCACAAAATCATGATGAAAAAAATCTATTTAGGCAAGGAGAAAGATGTTAGTTGACATTGGCTAAATTCTTATTTTGCTTCATAATTTTTACCTGATTGGTTCAAATCAACTACTAATGAATCAATTGACACACACAAGAAATATATTTTGTGTTATATAATTGATTTTTATAAATTCCTATTCATTTTATTTTATCAATAAATAGGCAGATATAAGCAAGCAATTGTGTTTGCTTTATAACATCTTTCAATTTCCATCCTTGAAATATTTTCATTTATTTTCACTGATTATTCTTTCTTTGGAATTTTTGTTATTGAGAAAGTTTTTTTTCAATAAGATAACTCATATTTCGATTGAAGTAAAATGGATGGAATTAAAAAGAAAATGATTGCCATGAAGTTGGAGAAGGAGAATGCTATGGAAAGGTAAGGTGTTTTTTTGTTTTTTAAATTTATGTTATACGATACATTGCCTTATGAGAATTAGTTAAGTTTCTTTTAAGCTTTAATATTTGACAGTGGATGTTTCCTTTCTTATCAGATTAGGTAGTTTCATCAGAACTTATATTTCTGTTTGAGACTTGTTACATTTTGAAAGGTTCTCACTAAAGCGATACCTTCTTGATGAAGCTGCTACTGAAGAATATGATTCCAGTGATGTTAAAATTTGAGGAACTACACTTTCATCACCAGTTTAAGTACTTTAATATCCAGTCAACGTGTAAAATTGTAAGGATAGAGGAATTGTTAACTGCTTATCGTAATGATTTAACAGGGAAAATAGTTCAGGTCATATAAAGGCCTGTAAGCAAACCACAAATCTGATGATTGCCAACTTGATGTGTAGTTGAGTGAAGTTAGAGGCGGGATGACAAGCTAAATATGATTCCCAATTCATCAGCTACCTAAATCAATTCAATTATTCTCTCTCTACCCTTTTTTTTAATTGTTCTCCTTCAGAGCTGTACAATATGAAGAGTTGCTTAAAAAGAAAGAAGAAGAACGTGAACGACGTGAAACTGAAATCGGCGAGTTGAATACAAAAATGAAACAAGCACAAATTGATTGTGATGAAATACAAGAGACTTTACAAGAACAAATGAATAAACTTGAAGAGACTGATAAACGAGCGACAAATGTAAGTTGTTTTATTTTAGTCATAGAAAAGTATACTTTCTTTGTTTGATTCGAGTATTGTCTGTATTCATGGTATCACTTTCTTTAGATTAAGTGATATAACATCGTGGAGTTTTCTCCATCTTTTCATCCAGGTTTGTAAAACGGTTAAAATATGTCAGATCTGGTTTAATTAGTTTAAAAACTTCAACTAAAACATAAAATATATTCGGCAAAGACTCATTCTCCTCGGTGAGATTATTTTGATTGTGTACATATAAGTGTATGTGTGCGTGCGCGCGCGCCGTTTTATCCAATAGTAATGAATTTTAATTTAATCAATGTCCAATACAATGTCTTAACCGTTTGTTCTGTTGAAACGAATCAAAAAAGTCAACCCGGGTTGCTCAAACTTTTAACTTTAGTGTAGATTAAGAATTCATGTAAACATCTTCACTCCATCTAGTAAATCCATGCTTACCAACTGAGAAAAATGGTTTAGAGCACAGATAAAAACTAAAAACTTCCGTCAATTATACTTGTTAATATTTTTAAAACATCCATGATTAAAAATGTGCTGCGTTAACATCGATCGAGTTATAATTTCCAATAACGTAATTTTTAGTGTTATAACTTAGTTGGTTGTAATTATCAAGGAATCAAAAACAAGAGTTTCATCCCATTTAGGACTCGTTAGTTGGATGTACCAGGACCCCAGTGAGTGGTTTTGTTCCCACTGGGACTCGAACCTCATAAAATAAACATTCAGACAATATCGCGGTATTCGCTTACGAACCAGCAGAGGTTGATCAATTCTACCCATCATAACAACGGAGAATTATAAGTATATCAACTAAAAGTGATAATTTTTAGTGGTTTCGTAACTTCTCCAAATGACTTGAGATATGATTAGTTGTAGTCAGTAACCTTACAGTGTGGAAACATTCAATGGATTTCTCGACTATCTGTAAACTAAAGTCTTCCTTTCTCATTTTTGATAAAGATTAATTTTTTTCTTCCTATACGTGTCCTATGTCATCTATTATGTGCACGAAGAAAAGACAAAATTTGATGAACCCGCTCAGTCCAAGAATTTCCCCATTGTTCTTTATGTAGTATACATTATAGGATTATTAGAAATCATGTCTGTATTGCAAGAATTCAGTGCGTACATACAGTCATCATTATAAGATGGTGATAAGTGCTTGTAGACAATGCTTAATATGATATTGAAAGTCTAACGAAACAAATATACTATCCAAGGGGTAATAACTTAATCCGAGCATTTCTGACCAGTGACTTATGCAGCTGTAAGGGTTAGTATGGACATAGATGGATTTATCAACAGAATCGGGAAGAAAAGTTTGGCTCCGGTAGGATTGGCATCAGAGGTTAACTACAACCCAAGTTGCTATTTCAAATTTATCAATCGGACTTATCTGTTTAACGCTTGGTCAACCAACTGGCTATATTCCTGTCAGTCAAATAATATTTAAAGTGTTGCAGACACATAGATTTCTCATACCCACCCACCTTAATGATGATCCCATATCTTCCCGATCTGTCTTTTCCCCCTCTTCCATCATCTAATGGTTTTTCTACCTCCACCGTTGATACTGCAGCTCTCATTTCTTTACTATTCCTCTTGTTGAATTCAACTTTGGTGTGTTCATTTTGTTAACTAGCAGTGGAATCCACGACACGCGTTTCGTCGCATTTGGGAGTCGACAGCTGGATAGACCTGGATTCCAGTGAGTGATGTTGTTCCCACGGAGGCTGGAACTCCGTACCCATGGCTTCAAACGCCAAAGTATTATCCATCAGGTCACTGGGGCACGAGAGCCACCATTCTTGAAACGAGTTGCAGTTGTTGTTTGATTTTCCGTTGCCATTCAGCACTGAACTGCTTGACCTCTGTTGGTAGATGGGCTCCTATGTGGATGCACCGATACTGCCTGAATATTAATGACGTTGTATCTCCTGAGGCAGTATCAAGACATCTACATAAGAGGCCTTCTTCCAACAGAGGTCAAACGATTCGACTCTGTATGACAACAGAAAATCATAAGTGTCATTTATCTCATGTATCTATAGGAAACTACTTCCCAAGTGCTCAGTTATTCAAGGAAATGTGTGTTGGGAACCTTCAGAAAATCAAGTAGAATTTCAAAAATTACAGTAATAATTAAAATGGCTTTATTATGAAAGGTATTTCGGAATACTGTACAGGTTATTCAGCACATTATACAGAATCAGTTGAACAGAAACAGTGTATATACATGCCTAATAAAATGAAGTAAGTAGAACTTATGTGAAAGATAAGAACATTTAGTTCATCTATAAATTCCTTGAAAATGCACATTCATCTTAGGTAAACAGTTACATTCACACTTAGATTCATAATACTATCGTAACAACAAGCTGTGTAATCTTTAATTAGTTTTGCTTTAAAAAACAAAATTTGATTAGTGAGTTCCTTTGTAACACTTTCTTCCTCGCACAGAATACGAGCTAAATCAAGTAGTATGCGCACAAAGTCTTATATACTTACTGTCGATCTTGCCTAAAAGGCGACACGTTGAGAGATTTGAGTGAAGAGGATTCCCATCACCTAATGAAATAGCACCTGCTAGATGTTTACATAAGTTAAGATGTTTGTCGACAACAGTTTTAATCAGAAGGTTTTGAGGTAAACTATTCTAGTTCTGCTGCTGATCTTCTTAGTTATACCCAATGCAACATTGTCCTTTTTAGGAACCCACTAAAGAATAAAGGGGAAGAAGTGAAGCGGGGATTGGCAAGATTCAGACGTCTGTAAAACAAAATAGAAGCGGTTAATTTATACCAGATTTTGTCAGCTCCCCACTTTAGTAAGTTAGGTGGAAGATTAGTTTGGAAATTAGTAAAATATGAGAAGTCCAGGAAGAAAAACAGCCACAGAAATATAAAGGTATCGACGAAGACTAAAGGAATAACCTAAATCAGTCAATGCTACATTGTTATTTCCGCATATTTTTGTGTTCTTTAGCAGTGCACCTATCAGTGCGAGACTAACGCTGGGAACTGAGAACCTTGTGAACAGCCCATTATCATTAGATAAATTCGATAGAATTCAGCAGTCTACATTTCCCCACTTCTGTCAATTTGTGATGTAAAGCAGCCATCATGACATGCGGCCATGATCATCCGTCCTAATTCCTGTATTATTTCCTTTTGAAGTGTAATTCAAGCGTTAACATGCCTCCCAATCGTGGAGAGATGATTCATAGATTCTCTTTATTTGATGAAATAAACTAAAGGCACTTCATTAATGGAAGTTTTAACATTGCCACTACTACTACTACTACTACTACTACTACTACTACTACTACTACTACTATTACTATTACTATTACTACTACTACTACTACTACTACTACTACTACTACTACTACTACTATTAGGTTTCAGCCGATAATACAGTTTATGTGATCTAGCGAATTGATAATTTTCCAACAAAATAGCCATGGATATCTGCATGTAGCTTTTGGGAAAAGTTACTTTTCCGACAGAAGAATATGAGGCAAATAATTTACAGATTCATGGTTATTTTGTTCGCATTACTTGTAGCTTAATCTTGATACAGATGGAATGTCATGCATTTGAAGCTGACTTTTTGCTTGGGAAATCGTTATAGCCGGTCCTACAGAGTGACTTACTGTCCTATATTTTGGAATGTAACATTCACCTACATAGAAATGGAGTATTACGAATTAAATACAATTAGAAAATTATTCAATTAATAACTAATTGGTAGTAAAGGATTTTTGAATCTCGGTGAATGTTGCATTACTCTTGGTTTATTGTCACTGGAACAATTTTCAGACCTAAATGACTACATAATTTAAAGTTTTTATTGCTTGTACATGGAGTTTATCAATTTCCATCTCATAAACTTGCGTAAATTTGATTATTTTATTCACTAGTACGTTGTTATGCCGTCTTTATCTTGAGTCAAGATTAAATTTTGTGGATATTTCCTACTGTGTCAGTCTGTCTACTGTTCTCAGTGATATTTTCTAGAAAAGTGGATTTACACTGATTGGTCACTGGAGGGTAAGCAACTTGATGTTCTCTAGTCCTAAGTGCTGATTAGATTATATCGCCAACATGAATTTGGTTACTCTTCACTGGCCAGTCAGTATGCCTAATCTAGTCCTACAAAAGGCTAGTTGAGGCCAAATAGCTTGCTGGTAATATCTTTCACTGCATAACTGGGTGACGCAGGTTTGAACCTCAAATGAGACGTCAGTCCCGTCAAGGTTGCAGATACGCCTTAGTGACGAGTACCAGCAGTCACGAAACTTAGGTCCAGAACTCCCTACCGACTACCTTCGTCGAAGAGAATTTAGTCAACGTTTTAGTTCATTACGAAGTGAATCACATTCAAAGCTATTCTGAACAATATCCGAATTTTGCAGTTCGAAAATAATGTCAGAATATCAGGAAGTAGAGCTGCAAAATATCTTTTTTCCAACACATCAGAATATGATCTGCTGTTTGTTCGATATGAGATAGTTTAGTTCCAACAAAATGCTGATCAGTTTATGTAGGACAACAGTAACGGTGGTGTATTTTGTGTGAAAACTGAATAAAATCCTAATATCTCAACGTAATTACAGTTTAAGTTGAATGAAAACGTCAGTATTGGCAGGGTTCGAACCGGAAGGCTCGGACTCACTAGTTGATTAATTGGGCCATGAAATTCGGCCAATGAACAAGTCTCTATTTGCTGACAGCTCTTCTCCTCCGTCATGTAAATAAGTAATACGTGGCTGTTTGTTTATCGACATCATACTGGCTACCCAATCACCATACTCTAACTTCAGAATGACCTTGTCAAACCAATACTTTAACTGACAATCACTTCACTTACAATACTAATAGAGGATAGCGGCTAGAAGTGGAATCCAGGACTAGTGTTTCATCCTGTTTGCGACTCGTCAGACGAATGTAGCGCATTTTAGTGGATGATGATATGTC